AGATGGGTGTTAGATGTATATATGTATGTATATGTTTTATATTTAGTTTATATTTGGTTGGGCATCCCTACATTATATTTAGCCCATTACTCTTATTTGTAACCCTTTTATATTATTGTGGTATTAATATACGTGAGAGGCACAATGCCAATTCATGGGTAAATATTCACTATAACATGGTACCGGGCTATTCCACCCTCTAACCCTAGCCGATCCATACATGTCTTATTCTTCTCACTTTTCACCTCTGTTCTTCATCTTCACATCTTCTCCCTTCTCCTTCGTCACAATGGCTGGAGATTCTTCTAATCCCAAACCTAGTCCCAACGATAAAATCTACGGGATAACCAATATCAAGTCTTATGTCCCCCTTCTTCTCGATCTTGACCGCTTGAATTATGATTCCTGGAAAGAGCTTTTTAAAACTGACTGCATTGGATACAAAGTATATGGCCATCTTGATGGGTCTGCTAAAATTGAAGATGATCCAGAATGGGAAACTGTGGACAATATTGTCAAACAATGGTTATATGGAACACTTACTCAATCCGTTCTCCAATTTATTTTCAAACCCAACACCACTGCAGCAGACGTTTAGAAGACTATTGAAGACATGTTTCATGAGAATAAAGAGACGAAAGCCATGGAATTAGATGATGAACTTCGTTCTATCACCATTGGTGACTCTATAGTTATGGAATATTGTACTCGTATCAAGTCCATCTCTGATCTTCTTTCTAATATTGGATCATCGGTACCCGAAAGAAACCTCGTCATTTATGCCATCAATGGTTTATCCCAGAAATTCGCCCATGACGTCACCACCATTCGACATCAAAAGTCGTTTCCCACCTTCCTTGATATGCGCTCCATGTTAACTCTTGAAGAACGGTCCATGGCAAAAGATCACTTCCATCAGGTTCAAGCCTCACATCAAGACAATGCATCTTCACCAACCATTCTCGCCATAGAGCACCAAAATCGCACATCCAATTATCGATTTAACAACTCCGGTGGTAGAGGTGGTGGCCGGAATCAGCGTGGCGGCGGCAGGGGAGGTTGGAACGGCGGGAGAGTTAGCGGCAGGCAAGGACGATCCGGAGGGGAGGATTTGCTCGCGGTTAAAATTAGGGGGGGATATTATCCCTGGTTGACTTCGTCGCAAGTTCAAGGTCAACAGCAGCATCGTGGTCTTCTGCCTTCTCCATCAATCCAACAAGCCCCATGGCCCAATAATGCACACTCAATTTCTCAACAGCACTGGCCCAATTCGAATTTAGCCCATCAGCATGCTCTTTTCTCCATGCCTCAGTAGTCCAATAATCAGCCCAATAGCCGGCAATGGTTTCAATACCCGAAAATATGGATCAACCGACCACTTTACCGCAAGGATTTAACACTATGACCCTTCAAGATCCAAACAATGTAGATTGGTACATGGACACCGGGCAAACCGCTCATCTTCATGCTGATTCAGGTAGTCTCAAGTCCTTTAAAAATAAGTGCACTAATTCAAATATATCAGTTTTAGTCGGAAATGGGTCCCGTATTCCTGTCACCAAAATTGCTCACTCTACTCTTGCTTTAAACCCTTTTCGCGTCCTTATTTTAAAAAATGTTCTTATCACTCCCCAAATTATTAAAAATCTCGTTTATGTACGTCAATTTACTCGTGATAACAAATGTTCTATAGAATTTGACGAGTTTGGCTTTTATGTGAACGATTTTCTCACCAAACGCACCCTCCTTCGACGTGATAGCACCGGAGATCTTCACCCAGTCACCAAACCGAGTCCTCAAGTCTTTGTCAGTATTAGCTCATCATTGTGGCATCAAAGACTCGGTCATCCTAGTCAACCTGTTCTGAAACTGCTAATTTCTAGCAATTCCATTTCATGTAGTAAAAATGATTCGTCATTTCTTTGTCATGCGTGTCAACTTGGCAAGCATACTCGTTTATCTTTCTCATTATCTAAAACTCATGCTTTATTTCCTTTTCAAGTTATTCATTTGGATGTATGGACTTCACCTTTGCAAAGTCATAGTGGAATAAAATATTATGCCATTTTTCTTGATCAATTTTCTCATTTTGTGTGGGTGTACCCTCTTAGATTAAAATCTGATGTGTTCTCCAAATTTCTTCATTTTCGTACTTATGTCAAAAATCAATTCAACACTAATATTCAAACATTTCAATGTGACAACGGAAAAGAATATGACAACTCTCTCTTTCATCAACTTTGTGACACCAATGGCATACATATTCGTTTCTCATGTCCATACACTTCCCCACAAAATGGGAAATCTGAGCGTATGCTTCGTACTTTAAATAATATGATCCGTACAATTTTTTTCCAAGCTCATCTTCCCCCCACTTATTGGGTGGAAGCTCTCCATATGTCCGCTCATCTCTTGAATATCCTTCCATCCACCTCTCTCCACAATGATACGCCCTTTCACAAACTCTTCAACAAACACCCATCCTACTCTCATCTTCGAGTGTTCGGGTGCTTGTGTTATCCTCACCTTAATACAATCAATAAACTTGAGCATTGATCGGTCCCATGTATCTTTCTCGGGTATCCCTCCAATCACAAAGGATTTCGTTGTCTCAATCTTCATTCTAAACAAATAATCATCTCGAGACATGTCACTTTTGATGAAACCATTTTTCCTTTCGGCTCAATGACCCCGGACCATCCCCCCACTTATGATTTTCTTAATATATCTGACTCCCGCAATTGATTTAATGATCCCACCATCACTTCTCATTCTCCTTCCTCTCCCACTTTTTCGTCTCCCGTTGGTGACACCTCCACCGACAACGTAGCCATTTCCGTCGACCACAACATTCCTGTAAACGACGCTTCTCCGACAGCTCCCCTTTCCTCCACTGATGCATCTCCAGCTGCCCCTTCGTTTCCTTCAAATAATAACCGCCCACCTTGTCGGGTCCTTCTAGCACTCATCCTATGACCACTCGTGCTAGACTTGGTATTCATAAACCCATTGACCGTCTCAACCTTCATACCGACATAGTTTCTAATCCATCCCCTCTTCCTAGAAACTATTCTCAAGCTTTCCAAGACCCTAACTGGTGTAATGCCATGCAAGACGAATATGATGCACTTATTTCTAATGGAACTTGGGTACTTGTACCTCGACCTCAAAATGCTAATGTTGTTAATTGTATTTGGATGTTTAAAAAGAAACTTAATGCAGATGGCTCTCTTGCTCGATATAAAGCACGGTTGGTTGCTAATGAACGTAGTCAACGTCCCGGCATTGATTGTGATGAAACTTTTAGTCTGGTTGTTAAACTTGCTACTATTCGGACAGTTCTTAGTATTTACATCTCTCATTGTTGGCCAGTCCATCAGTTGGACGTAAAGAACGCTTTTCTTCATGGCCATTTACAGGAAATAGTTTATATGCATCAGCTACCGGGTTTCCGTGACCCCTCTGCTCCAGATCATGTATGCCTATTACAACGATCTCTTTATGGTCTCAAGCAGGCTCCTCGTGCATGGTACCACAGATTTGCTCAGTATATCACTCAGTTCGGCTTCACTAACAGCAAATCTAATACTTCTTTATTCATCTACAACAAAGGGGATCACATTGCCTATCTTTTACTTTATGTTGATGACATTGTGTTGACTGCTTCATCCATAAGTCTCTTACAGCAGATTATCACCACCTTACGTGCCGAATTCTCCATGAATGATTTGGGTGCTCTCAATTATTTTCTCGGTATATCTGTCATTCGAGACCGTCATGGCATGTTTCTCTCTCAACAGAAATATGCCACAAAGATTTTGGACCGTGCTAAAATGTCTAACTGCAAACCTGCTCGAACTTCAGTCGAAACGTCTGCAAAATTTGATGGCTCGGGCCCTCCTGTTGTCGATTCAACCTTATATCGTAGTCTAGTGGGTGCACTTCAATACTTGACTTTCACTCGGGCGGATATATCTTCTGCATTTCACCAGGTGTGTCTATAGATGCATGATCCTCGAGAACCTCACTTTACTGCTCTCAAGCAGATCCTTCGATATGTTCGTGGCACTCTTGATCATGGCTTACAGCTCTATGCTTCTCTTGCTCGTGGTCTAGTTACTTACTCTGATGCTAATTGGGCAGGCTGCCCTACCTCTCGACGATCCACATCTAACTATTGTGTCTTCCTTAGACAAAATCTTCTCTCCTGGGCTTCCAAACGACAGGGTACCATTTCTAGGTCTAGTGCTGAAGCAGAGTATCGTGGTGTTGCAAATGTCGTTGCCGAGACCAGTTGGCTTCGTAACTTACTCCGGGAGCTCTTTTACCCTCCTCTGACTGCTACTCTTGTTTACTGTGACAATGTTAGTGCCGTTTACCTGTCCACCAATCCTGTTCAGCACCAACGCATCAAACACATGGAGCTCGACATCCATTTTGTGCGTGATAAAGTGGCCTTGGGTCAGATTCGTGTTCTTCATGTTCCCTCTTCATCCCAATATGCTGATATATTTACCAAGGAGCTATCGTCTACTCTGTTTCTTGATTTCGGTCCAGTCTGAAAGTTCGTTCTCGACCTCTCAATCGGACTGCGGGGGCTGTTAGATGCACATATGTATGTATATGTTTTATATTTAGTTTAAATTTGGTTGGGCAGCCCAACATTGTATTAAGCCCATTACTCTTATTTGTAACTGATAGAGACCGATTAATATGGTCAATCTCCAAGATAGGGCCAATTTGAGATGGCTAATCTCCCAAAGAAATAAGAATAAGACACTAAAATTTGGATCAATTTTCTCTCTGTTTCTATTAACGAACATACATTAGTTTAAATAACAAAGAAGTAGTGCTAACTAAAAACAAGGAAGTAATGGAGATGATGCTAGCTAATGGAACACATGCCATAAACAAACAAAACTAACTAAATAAACAAATGCATGAAATCTATACATCAGTAAATGGAATCGTGGGTGTCACGTGCATATCCATGCAAAACATTAATGACATTGTGGAAAGTGTTGCAAGAGTATCACAAAAGGGCTTCCATTTTTAATATATAACATCTTTAATGGGTCCGGCCATGGAGGCGGCCTTCGGTATGGCCCATAATACGTATCAATTCCCTCACCCTTAAAATTGACCTCGTCCTCGAGATCCAACAAGTTCGTTTGTAGAGGAATGAAACCGGAAAATCGTTGGTCGCTCGGTTGAATGTCGAATGTGACTGGTTGGATTTTCCCGATGATCGTTTTTGATTTCAATGGTTGCAACGATGTCAGTTGTTGTTGTGGTGACCGAGTTGATGGCATCGAATTTGGTGGAGGCAGTAGCGGTGGGGATAACATTGTTGGCGGTCTTGGTTGTTGATTCGGTGGTGGAATCGGGATGAGGTTGGCCATGGTTTCAGTTTGAATGCTGATGAGGGTGTTGATGGTGACCATTTGTGTGATAATTGCATGAAGATGGCGGACATTAGCGGTGGAAATAGCGATGAGTATGGAGAGTTGCTCGCGGATACATGGCGGTGTGACATCGGTGGGCGGCTCTTGACGGGGAGGCATGGTGAACGAGAATGAAAGCACCATTGATATAGACCGATTCGAGATGGTCAATCTCCAAGATAGGGCCAATTTGAGATGGCTAATCTCCCAAAGAAATAAGAATCAAGACACTAAAATTTGGATCAATTTTCTCTCCGTTTCTATTAACGAACATACATTAGTTTAAATAACAAAGAAGTAGTGCTAACTAAAAACAAGGAAGTAATGGAGATAATGCTAGCTAATGGAACACATGCCATAAACAAATAAAACTAACTAAATAAACAAATGCATGAAATCTATAAATCAGTAAATGGAATCGTGGGTGTCACGTCCATGCAAAACATTAATGACATTGTGGAAAGTTTTGCAAGAGTATCACAAAAGGGCTTCCATTTTTAATATATAACATCTTTAATGGGTCCGGCCATGGAGGCAGCCTTCGGTATGGCCCAGAATACGTATCAGTAACCCTTTTTGTATTATTGTGGTATTAATATACGTGAGAGGCACAATGCCGATTCATGGGAAAATATTCACTATAACAATGGGGATATACTTGAAAGAGTTCAATCAGAAATGCAGTGTTGCCCGTTTCTACAGCAACAAATAACACTCCGGAAGGATGTTTATAATTATTTTGAGAATCACTAGGCCCCTTGAGTATGCGATGTTGATCATCCAATTTGAATGTGGTACAAATATTCAAAACTTTTTTTAGTAAATTCAAGGCTGGATCATCATTTTCTGAAGGCCCCTTCTTCATATGCAGCTTTACAAAAACTGAAAGTACATGCACATAATATATAATGAAGTTAACTATGAATTAATTAGTGGGGACAAATTAATGTAGGCATACATTTATAATTTATTAATGAGTTGACATATATACTTACATGGATCAATGATTTTCCAAATCATATTCTGTTTTGGTCTATTAAGTGAATCAGGCCTTCAGGCCTTCGAGCCAATTCATCGAGTATAATCATATAAGTTTGATCGAACATTTTGTAAGGGAATTTGGTCAATAGTTTTAATGTTATATCTGGAAAATGATATGCATGATCAGAAACCAATTAAATTAAAAGAATATAATATAAGTTAATTAAAGAGCAAAAGCAATTCAAATTACTTACCAAACATTTCGCTCCTAATGCAGTGGCAGACAAAAAAATTTAGATCCCTGGTTGTCATGTACGTGTCGATCGTCCCCTCGGAAAGTTGATACAGATGCCTTGTCAAGTCAAGATGTCCATAGAAAGCACTTATGCTTAATGGAAAATCGTTCTTCATATTGGGGATACTTAGCAGGGCTTGGTTCTTTTGTAGCATTATATCAACCATTTCCATACTTCCATTTGCAACTGCAATCTGAAAGGCGTTCCAGGAATTGCGATCCTCAAGTTCCAAGTCTTTCATTTCCAATATATTTACAAGATTTTGCAGAAACTCTTGTGTCTGCTTGGTGTTTTCTGCTGAAGCAGCAAGATGGAGCAGTGTCTCCTGATTGGCTGTGATAGAAAACAGTACCAGCTCCTGCCGTTCATCAATGATGGCCTTGGCAGCTTGCCAGTCGCCCATAAATGATGCTTTCATCAGTGGACGACAGGTCTTGTTGTATTCTTGTATATCTCCAATATTTAATAAATAAATAAAAAAAAACATTTGAGAATCAGTACTGCATGCAGTGATTTAATTCTTCTCCTTTTATATATATACTATCGATTAAACTAGATTCAACTTTCAAGAATTAATCACTGTAAGTAGGGTTGGTTTTCACTAACAGATCACTCTAGAGTCTAGAATGCTAGTGCACAATTATTTTCTGTTTGATCGATTCTTCTTTCACATGCTCTTGTATTAAAAAAAGAGTTTATTTTTCTTTTTTGGTAGCAGAATTTACCTTCGAGTAGATCCTTGTGCGGTAGATTTATTGAACAAGAAGTATTTGTAACGTCAATACTATGCCCGTAGTCCATTCTATCCAGTTATTTGATATAACCCAAGTCTCTATTTGTTGGATTCTGTAGATTTGCTACTTATTCATCCGCAAAAAATGGAACGTCTCATCATAAATACTGAAGTGAAGACAACACCTGTGTAGACTGTAGAGTAATTGGTAGATACGGAAAGTGACCTTCTAACTAATTCCAGCTCATCCTTAATTTCTGACTTTGTATTTACAATTGTGATTTGTGAACCACCAATTAAACAAATACACATTATATAATTTATACAGAAATTGGTACTTATAAAAACTAGGATAACTTCTTACTTGCAATAACATAGACTAATCACCAATTAATTAAAGAAATGCACATTCAACTTAGACTAATCACCAATTAAAGAAATATACATTATATAATTTATACATTACTTGGTGCTCATAAAAAAATTGGAAACTTGTTAGTTACAACAACTAATTTGTTTGGGGTAGATCAAGACTTAATTATTGAAATTTTTTAATCCTAAAGGCTTCTTCCCAAATTGTTTTCAACTACTCTTTGTGAATGCATGAAAAAATTTCAAGTTTGCTGCTTCTCCTCCCTCCTTTCTCTTTCAATTTCTAGTCTGACTATAATTTCAAGTTTAATTGCAATAATGTTATGATTTCTGTGCATACCACCACCACCTGCCTTCTCCATCCTTTTGCTGTTCTCCGGCGACTACCACAACCATTCTTTTTCTCTTTTTTTTTTTCTGATGCTGAGAGTTTTCTAAAGAGGGGTAAATACGTAATATACTTTTCCCTAGAATAATCAACAGTGGCGAACCTTAGTGGGGCATTTGAGGTCCCGGGCCTCTGCTCAATTTCCAGCACGTAGTGTAAAAAAAATATATTATTTTTTTTGGTTTTTTCTATTAGGGGCACCCGCTTGAAGTACGAGGGACACCCCTACTAAAACAGTCTGCATCCGCCCCTAATAATCAGCTTTGTTGAAGGTGCATGGTTTGAAACTGATTATTAGACCCATAAATAATCTTATAATTTATAATGAGAACCACTATATTAAAACACTTGAAATTCATAATTGCCTTTTCAAATGGTATCTGTCAAAGGAGTTGAATTTGAAACGATATATTCTGTCTTGCATTGGTCGGCAGCAGGATATGAAATGAAATTCAATATTAAAAGATTTAAAGATTAAAGCGTTTTTAAATTATTATTTTTTAATATATATATATATATATATATATATATATATATAAAGAGGTGAGGTTCAATAGAGAACCATAATTAACCAAGGAACCAATCGTGAGCGTCGAATATCATAACGATCAACGGCCAAGAAAATAGATATACATTTTTACATAGGACGCACACACACCGGATTATACCAAAAAATCCACCCTTTATAAAAAAACTCACCACTTTTTTTTGTTTAAAATTTTTTTAAGCCATGTTTTTTATCAAAAAAAAAAACGAATATACCGTTATTCCCGATTTTTCGTCCTCTTTTCATAGAGATCCATGATGATATACAAAAAACGAACTTTTTTTTTTCGAAAAAAACTCACTTCATTTTATTTGATGAAAAAAGTTAAAGTCTTTTTTATAGAAAAAAAATAATAAATATATCAAAATTCATATTTTTTGTACTTTATTAAACATAGATTCATATTCATGTTAAAAAAAATAATAAATAAATAATAAATAAAAACGATATTTCAGTTCAGATTCACATTGTGAACCTGTTCAGATTCATATTGTGAACCTGTTCAGATTCACATTGTGAACCTCCTCAGATTCACAGTGTGCATAATAATAAGTCAGATTCACAGTGTGAATCTGAACTGATCGGAGCTTTTTCACATTGTGAATGTTAAAATTTGAAATATTTACAGTTTTGATTCACAGTGTGAATCTACACTGATCGAGTTTCTTTTTTTTTTTTTTTTTGTGAACCTTCTCAGATTTACAGTGTGCATAATAGTAATTCAGATTCACAATGTGAATCTGAATTGTTCAAGATTTTTCATATTGTGAATGTTAAAAATTGAAATATTTAAAGTTTAGATTCACGGTGTGAATATACACTGTTCGAGTTTTTTTTTTTATTATTATTTTTTTTAATCGGTGTTGATGTATATTAATAGAGTATAAAAAATTAATATTTTTGGTATAATTAGTTTTTTTTTTATAAAAATAAATTTAAATATTGAAAAAACTAAGAAAATTAAGTGGGTTTTTTTCGAAAAAAAAAGTTCGTTTTTTTATATATCATCATGGATATTTATGGAAAGAGGGCGAAAAATCGTTAACAACGGTATATTTGGTTTTTTTTTTCGATAAAAAACTTGGCCTAAAAAAAAATTTAAATGAAAAAAAGGAAGTGGGTTTTGTTATAATCCGGTACATGTGTGTCCATTATAAAAGTTTACAACCCTTTCTTTTGCCATTGATCGCTTTCAATTCCGACGCTTTGGATTGTTTCCTTGGTTCCTTGATTAATAATGGTTCTCTATTGAACTTTTTCCCTATATATATAAACTGTAAATATTTCAATTTTTAACATTTGCAATATGAAAAATGTCGAACAGTTTAGATTCACATTGTGAATCTGAATTACTATTATGCACACTGTGAATCTGAAAAAGGTTCACAACAAAAAAAAAAAAAAAAAAAAAAAAAAAAAAAAAACCTCGATTAGTGTAGATTCACACTGTGAATCTAAACTGTAAATATTTCAAATTTTAACATTCACAATGTGAAAAAGCTCCGATCAGTTCAGATTCACACTGTGAATCTGAACAGGCTTACAATATGAATCTGAACTGGTTCACAATGTGAATCTGAACTGAAATATCGTTTTTTTTTACATTAATATGAATCTATGTTTAAAAAGTACAAAAAAATATGAATTTTGATATATTTATTAATTTTTTTTCTATAAAAAATTAGACCTTAACTTTTTTCATCAAAAAAAATGAAGTGGGTATTTTTCGAAAAAAAAAGTTCGTTTTTTATATATCATCATGGATCTTTATGGAAAGATGACGAAAAATCATGACCTAAAAAAAATTTTAAACGAAAAAAAGTGGTGAGTTTTTTTGTAAATGGTGGATTTTTTGGTATAATCTGGTGTGCGTCCAATGTAAAAGTGTACATCTATTTCTTTGGGCGTTGATCGTTATGATTTCCGATGCTCACGATTGGTTCATTGGTTCATTGGTTAATTATGGTTCTCTATTGAACCTCACTCTCTCTCTCTCTCTCTCTCTCTCTCTCTCTCTCTCTCTCTCTCTCTCTCTCTCTCTCTCTATATATATATATATATATAATATATATATATATATATATATATATATATATATATATATATATATATATATATATATATAAGCCGTTACTCGTACCAAGCGACAGGTGGTGAATAGTTTATTTCATAAATTTGTTTGTAGAGACGATTAATTCTTTAGCGCAAATAATTTATTATATCTAAACAATTATCCATAAGAGTCACAGTCTTTGCTTGTATGCTAGAATCAAAGACCAAAAATGCGACATTAGTATGCTAGAATCCATGTGCACGTGTTCTACGTCTCACGACCGGCAACACTTGTCTAGATCACCTCCCAAAACCATTGTTTTTTTATTAGTTTACTTTCAACGGTTAGTTTCCCTTCGAATTATAAAAGGAACACATAAAATTGTTATATGAATTCAAATTCAAAGCAATAATAAAAAAAATAAGGGAGATGGAAGTGGAGGTAGAACCGGTCAGAGGCATTTTTAAAGGAACACTTCTTTATACACCAACTTTGAAGTATAGACTTCGTTATCGTTAAACTTTTTTTCCAGGATTCATTAATACCTTTATATTGGCATATGATGTCTCTCTGGACAATGCAACGTAAAGTTATCCATGCGAGAATACTGATTCTGGTAGATATATACCTACATTCAAAATTGTTTGTTCCTGGTCTTTATTGATCGACATCGCAAACATAGTCGATTAGGAAAAAAATATCTTCAACTTAAATCGGAACATTTTTTCGTCAGACGGACATAGATAAATCACCGATAAAAAATACCATGTTGCGAGCATGTTGACCAACAACTATTTCCGCGTCAATGACATTTTGCTGAAAAATTTTACATATCAATCTGATGTCATTACACTATCCATTTGATGGATCAAGATTTTAAAACAGTATTAACAGGCATCCAACTTTTAACCGAAAATAATGATGAGGTAAGCCACTAACAGTAAGCGAATTTAAGAATTCCTTCGGAAAGAAGTTGTTTCTACCATCTTTAGTTTCATCAAAACTATAGTAAATTCTTTCCTTTCTACCGATTCGACTGACCAAATAATTATTAATATTATCGATACTATCATTTGAACCATGACATAACATGTTAAAAAAAAGTGTTTTCATCGTTTTGGTCTTTCAAACCATTTAAGGCAAAAAAAATTGTAATTTTGATCACTTTCCTCATTTCAAGCAAATCGAATAGAATTAGTATGTTGGTCATTTGAATCATGTCATTACACGAAAAAAAATGGTATTTTGACCATTTTGGTACTTCTAACCGCTTAAGTCAAATTTTGCATTTTGTTAAAATAGAATAAAACAAATTATTTTGGTTATTTAAACAATCACAAAATAGTACAAAAAACAACATTTTGATCGGTTTGGTTAGTGTTAACCAAGAATAGTTTCAATTGGATTTTTGTCATTTTTGGTTATTTTGTGCAAATAAATAAAACAAATCTTCTGGTCATTTGAACCGGTGAAAAAAACATTTTGACCATTTCGGTCATTCTTAACGGTTTTAGTCAAAATTTGTCATTTGACCATGTTGGTTCTGGTAAAAGAAAATAAAACTATCTTGTTTTGTTTTTAAATAATGTTATTGTTTTGAATTCAAAATAAAATTATGTTGATGTTTTACATTTAACATGTTCTATATTGGGTGTTGAATTTGAAAAATATTTGGTGTTGAATTTGAAAAAAGGCTGGTCACTTGGTG